TGATTCTTCGCGCGCGAGATAAAATGAAGCCTTAAGAATCGAAGTGGAGACTTTGTGAGTTTTCCCTGAGTTTGATGCACAGATTTTTGTACTTTAGAATTTATGATTCAGAATTCGAAATTCCGAGAGGGATCAAATTGAGTGAAAAACGATACGATCATAAAAAACATCTGTAAAGCAACTAAATATGAAATTATCCAAGAAATACAAGACAATTCTCGAGAGGCACTACTGCATGTTAGGACAAAGATTGTAATTTGATGAGATGACAAAGAGAGACAYGCAATGCAAAAAACGAAGATGACCAGTAGAACAATATGCATTGTTTAATATAATCCCACAATTCCTTTTTAGTTTGTTGTCTCAATCACAGTCACAATCATAATCAGTAGTATGTTGTTTCCTATTGAGTCTCCTATAATGATAACTGATCGAAAAGAAGACTTTCCCATGTGTGTGATAGTGGTGGCAGGCTTATTCGCGTTTTGTTSTTTCTTTTTCTGTTTCAAATAGTGTTCAGGGTCGGGTTGTCTAAAACTCGATTATTGCAAATCTTGGGTTTTGGTTGAAAATCATAAAAATCTCCGGAATAACCATGAGTCAACGCATGTCGTAAAAAGCAGAAAACTCAAAAAAATATCGGTATTGCAGGCTTTTGTTCAGTAAAAACGACTGTCTAGACTTCTTCTCCAACTCAAAGTAAAAATTAAAAACAAGATTATTATAAAACTAAGAACTCATTCAAACAGGGTTGTCATGACGACATCCGCTGACGTCGTTCAAATAACCAGCTTAATAATTCACACTTTGATCTAATAATTTACTCTTAAACTAATGGACTTCCGCTACTTGTGGGATTGATGACGTTATTTTGTGCGTTTTAAACCAAAAAAAAAAAKCTGGTTTTCCGTTAAACTGGCCAAAAAAACCACGAGTTTAAAGTCGAGTCATTGATGAAAAACGTGCAATTAAGAAATAACTAGCTAGGACACGAGGCACCAGCCAAACTMGAAAGAGTTACAGACGTTACAAGATCCGCATTAAATACCTAAATGGCTCGTGTGATACTGAAAAGTGCGGCAAAACCTATGCTGTAAATGCTATAAAATAAAAGCAATAAACAAATACATTTTCGTGCGTTKCTSGTGAAATAAACCACGCAGAATATTTGATATTGCTTAACTATAAAGCCTACGTGGTCAGCTGTTTCTAGCCGCTCTGAGAGATATTTACGGAAGAGCTTTTTTCCGGCCCAAACACTATCTCGACCCGAATTGACTGAAGGCCGAATTAGACGTAGTCTCCTCGCTCCCGTTTTTRGTTGCGGCCTGCCGGGGAACAGGGAGCCCGACTTAAAAAACGCGATGCTAGGCGCAAGTTTTCCCTTGCATCGCATACAACTAGCCCAAGTTGTCTACATCATAGCTACAACTGTCGTAGAAATTCAAAATAGCTCTTTAACATTCCTACTCTGAGTTGCAGGATTTCGGTAAGATGGCAATGAACGAAGCCAATTCATGAAAGTTATACTATAGTCTAACTGACTATACCCATTTCTATGTTTTTCCCTTAAGGAATGCAGTCAATGACAAAACCTTTCATAGGGTTATATTTTAGGCCCGTACTTTCTCACCAAAGATACCTAGAAAATACCAATATCAACGCCTTACCGGAACTAATATTAGGAAGCACTTGTAGAAGAGATTTTGACGTCATATGTACAGTTATTGCTGCGCCTATTCGTCAAGGGTCAAGTTTATGTTTTTTATGACATATTTTAGCACGTTTTCGGAGCGTTATATGTGTATACATTTTTTTGATTTTTCTTCTTTTTTTGTTTATTTGTTTTGATTTTTCATTTTTGTTCAAGAAACTTTTAATTAAAACAAATACACAATTCATATGAAAGGGTTCTAGTCCCWCGCAATCGAGATATTCAATAATCAGGAAAAATAGCACKAAATTCTTTAATTCGCCTCAATTGTAGCTATAGCAACTATTGTAAACAAGCAGAAAAGCCGACCGGAAGTCATGGCTTGTCTGGGATTTTCTGGTGAATCGGAAGTGACTGCAAACTCAAAACACTTCCGGTATGAGCGAGCGTGGGAAGATCTTTGAAAAACATGACAAACGAGTCGTTCTCGAATGACAAAACACGAGGGCACTTGGCAACTTTCTAAATTAAGGCAATATTTCGCGGTTGAGTTTTTACAAGATTTGCATGATGATGTCATGTACTTCTATTACCAGAATGCCTTGACGACTTTATTTGAATGCTTTGTGATTAATTTGCGCTACAAAAAARTCGGCAGCATTGAGCTGTAGGCGTGTAGCAAGCATTCAAAATTGAAAAACATACAGTATCATATATTTTTTTTAGGTCCGGTATTCTAGTCGCGCTGTGATTGGCTAGCGCGCAGTCCGGTTTTTCACGATCTGCCCGGTCCGCCGGTATCCTGCAGCTAGGATGCGAGCAAAGTTGCAGAAAATACAAATAAAAGAAATAAAAATGTTATCATTACCGGCTATAGATTGGAAAATAACATTGATATATATATCAGTTTTAGCAGCATTCTGCTTTATTCATGTTTAATGTTTTGTAATCTATGTTTCTTTGCCATTTCTGGTTGTTACGTACATGAGGACACGCAGGCCAATGAATCTGATATTCACTAGTGCTTGAACTTATTCATTTAACTTGTCGTCGAGTCAGTTCTCTCCTGGGGCGGGCTGCTGTTGGTGCCGGGTGGTGCTTTGGAGATTTGCCACATTATGATGAGAACAGATATTTGGTTTTGAAGAGCGAAGTCTACTCAAAGCCGTTGAAGGTTAATAACCTGTTTGGAGTACCAGACATGTACAGTCATAAATATTAATGTGATTTGAAAACATCAGTGTAAATTACGGCTGCGTTTGACATGATTGAAAATATAAACTTAATGAACATTTGAACAAAAGCCCGTTCGATCGCTGTTTATAGTTCCATATACAATAGAAACACTATCTAATCTTAGTCTAAAGAAATTGGTCAGTAGTCTGCTACAAAAGTTACCTACGAACCAAACACTTTTCGACTGAATACCTTCATCTACGGCAGTGTTATTTACTGCTTTGGCTCTGTATTCTCCAATACCCCACACTAGCATTTTTGAAATAATGTATTAGAGATTGTAGCCTGATGCTKAACTTTAAATGTTGAGTTACAGAATGTAGGAAAAGTCGCCATACGTCCCATTATACTCCAAAACTTGCATAGCACCTGAACGTAATTGCATGTACTGGAAAACTCACTATTTCAGCAATTTTTGTCATAAGGATCTACGTTTAGCTTTACTGGCAATTCTAACCGCCTTGTTAAATATTGATGAATGGCATGCTGGGATGAGTCATGGCTATTGGGGCTTTTCTAGCTTGGTACGCAGTTTTAGAACTGTTTATATTTCCAATGTCACGAAAATGCTGCAAACGTCACCTGTTATCGTTTGATAAAAGATTTTATAGATTGCATGAAGTTGCGAAAAATGTTTTTTCAAACAAATGTTTCTTCATAACGGTTTTGCCTTTTTTATTATGCACGTCTGACTTGAATATTTCATCATTTTAAATAAAAAGTAAAAAAATAAATAGCCTCACACTAAATGAACCTCAAGTAAAACTTCATGATTCTATCGTTTAAAGCTTCAAATTATGATTTCTAATTCACGTATTATTTCAATTGCGCGAGCAAATTACATCATAAAAAGAAATACTTTCTCCTTTGATTTGCAATAATTTGTCGCTTCAAGAATTTCATACTCAAGTATGTTGTTGCGTTGGTGTAGTGTCTTTCATCGCTACTAGACACTGTAGATAATTAGCCACACTAATAGATCCTAATTTGCGTTGAAGAGTTGATTGATTAGAACGATAGCTAAATACCCGAACATGGCCACCAAAGCAGAGGTCATACTATTCCAACCACCAGGGTCTCTACCAATAACAATCATTGCATTTTACACCTTTTCCTTGTACCATGATTGGAAATTTCTGGTATTGTTGTAGTTATTTTGTGTTCTAGCTTGTTGTAGCAAAATATAAGGAAGTTTTTGAGTGGAATTTCGTTTTTCCGTGGTTTAACCTGCACACCCCTCGTTCACCCTTGACTTGTGCAAAAGGTTTTGAAAAGTTGTGAATTTCTTATGAGTCAATGAAACACTTATGTTGTTGAGTGTATAGATCAGAACTAGTAGAACACCTCAGAGATTTGTATCAATTCATTGCTGAAATGTTCGTCTTTTAGTTCAAATCTAAAGACGAGCTTGCTAGGGTGTGTGAATCAGCCCACGAATCAACCCGGCCTTGTCCGGAACATTACAGAAAAGCTTAAAATAGCATATGAGATATACGATCAAGAATGATTTAGCTGTTGTTTACAGGTCCTAGGATTTTGTATATAAGAGGTGCAAAAAAATCAGATGCAGAGATAAAGAAAAAAAGGGACAACGAGATCAAGGCGTGAAAGTCAGGAAAAACAACCCAAAGAAACTCGCAATGTTTTCAAACAAAGTAAGTGTTGTTGGTATTCTTTTGTGAAAGAATTATTTTAGTTCAATATCACGTCCTTTATTTTATGATTCATTTGTTGAAAAGTCGATATTATAAAACCATTTTCTATTCTTTATTATTTGATGGTTATCATATTATTAGATATACAATTATTTAAAAACAAATAAACTTAATTTTAATTTTTATTTCCAAAAAAGCAATTAGGACTAAATAGGATTTATTAGGATTTAGTAAGATTTATTAGGAGTTATGGGCCAGCCATTTGACTTTTGAGGTGAGGGAAGATGATTTGGTCGGTAGAGGTATCTCTTTTAGACCATAAGTGCTCGTAATATATTTGGTAAAATTGCAAAGATTCGAGTGAAAATTTTCGCCTTACAGAATTTTTTTGCGGCCCTTCGTAACCTGTAATTCAGTCCATTTTTTTCTTTTGTCATCTGTGTCTATTTGACTATTAGATTTTGTTTCACAGGCTTAATGTCTTTACTCTATTAGACTAATACACCTTAGTAGTCGCTAATTAGATTCTGTTTCACGGATTTCCTGTTCTCACTGTACACTTTGACTATAATAGTTATTTTTTAAGAAAAGAAAAAAGGAACAGCACATGTTATTCGGAGGGCCTTGTACATAGAGGTACAGTTTAATACTATGAAATACAGTAGCTATCCTCTTAAACCTCTTCATAACTCCTTCACCTCTTCTAGAGTGTCACCCTTCTTCTCAGAGATATCYWTGTCCAGGTAATTGGATCCCAGTGACATTAAACCCGTGAAACAAAATCCGATAGACAAGTGTTACGGTAAGAATTTTGTTTCGGGTTTCGTGTTACCGAATTGTAACGGGAGAAAATTCATCAAAATTGTTTAAAGTGCTACTTGCATGAAAATGGCCTTATTTCAAAACTTCAAGCAATACAAATATATGACCCAMTTATATCTATTAAAAACAATTGCYGYAAAATATTTMTCTTGGAATTATCCCACATCAGAGAAATTTTGATTCAAAAGATGGAAGAACAAAAGGATCGAGTAAATGACGTCATCTACTCCAACATTTTTTGCCCAAATTATTAAGGATTTGCATCAATATTTTCTTGAAATCTGTTGCTTCATAATTGTTACACCCATATGGATAGGTCTATTTGATTTCCAAGTCTTGTCTAATTTTTCGCCCTTTAAGGAAACAAATCAGTTAGTTATTGTTTAAATTGGCGATATTAGGAAATTGGCAAAACATTGTGTCACGATATTTACCTAGCAGGTTAAGTTAGAGTTTTTCTAAAAGACACCTGTTGCAAGTATTCTATAATTAATTCACTATTTTAGTCACGATAGTAGGTAACGCTGATCTGTCGCTGAACACAGAGAAAGAATTGTAAAGAGTATCGAGCGTGTTCATGAAATCGCCAGGGAGAATATACAGCGAGCGCAACAAAAGATGAAAACATACTATGACGAGCACACAGGAAACATCAAGCTAGCACTCGCTAGGTGGTCTCCGGACTAGCATGAGTCAAGCTCGATGCTAGGAGAGTGGTCTCTAAATCTCTAATGTTACAATGATTCTCAGATCTATTTATACGATAAGCTCGGTTACAAGATTCTTTTGTTACAGGTAATGAATGCATTATTAACTAACAGATCCATAATCCGTAAAACTCATCAAAATCCAATCAAATCGATTAGAGTAAAATTGTCATAAGATGAGGTAACATACGCAGGAGATTATTGGCTGTAACTAGAAAGTTAAGTAATGCGTACAACTGGTACCAGTAACTTTTCATCACTTTTCAATTCCTGGTCTTAACGCTTGTTTCCAGGTAGTTAACGGTGAGATCAGCGTTACCTACTATCGTGACTAAAATAGTGAATTATAGAATACTTGCAACAGGTGTCTTTTAGAAAAACTCTGACTTGACCTGCTAGGTAAATATCGTGACACAATGTTTTGCCAATTTCCTAATATCGCCAATTTAACAATAAATTAACACTAAATAACTGATTTGTTTTCCTAAACAATTTCGATGAATTTTCTCCCGTTACACAAGGTGTAATAGTCAAATAGACGCGTAAATGAGAGACTACTAAGGTGTATTCATTACAGTGAAGTTATTAAACCCGTGAAACACAATCTAATAGACAAGGTGTAATAGTCAAATAGACACGTACAAAAATGAGTAAGGTAGTAGTAAGGTGTATTCATTGCAGTGAAGTCATTAAACCCGTGAAACAAAATGAGAGCAACTCTAAACCCGTGAAACAGAAGGCGTGACATTGGAATAGACACAAAAAATGACAACAACGACAACAACAGCAGCAGCAGCAACAACAACAACAATAACAACACAGAGTTTGACAGTGGCTAGTAAGGTGTATGAAAACGGTTAAAARGATAACATATTTTGAAAAGCGATACTCGTGATCTTTGTCCTTTCAAGTTACACAGTAAGTCGTAGTTGATTCTCGCTTAAATTAGTATTTAAAGTTGCATAAGCATGACGTACTTCGCCATAATGGAGTGTATTATGAACACCAATTTGTTCTGTATAAGAAAAAGAAGACTCGACGATGTGGAGTACGAAGATTTCTTGGTGTAATGACTCTAAAACTAAACGTTAGCACCCTCAACTCTTAATTCTGAAGCAACGTATTTTAGTTCTTTTTCGTMAACGGCTTTTGAGTAAATAAAATGGGAATTAGAGGTAAACTAGTGTGAGCTGCGTCGGTGTTTCTAAAGAAACAGTTGTGTAAAAAGATAGATTTAACACCGTAAAAAAAGGTGAAATATTATTACTTATACATGCACCTACTTTTTTACGGTGTTCAAAATTTATCTTTTTACACAACTGTTTGAAGAGTAAATAATTTAMCTTGGTTGCGAACTCGGAGTTTTCGGAAACCAAATATCGAAAAAACACGTTTTTGCATGAGTGATGTATTTTTCCCATGAGAGAGTACTTTTACAACCAATAAAAGAACCTTTCTCTGGTCTATTCACGATGCGTTCCGAAATGCTAAACATCAATATGATAAATATTATTTACACACAATAGTTTAGGTAAGGGTTAAGAATAAACAGGGCGAATATCACTTCGATCGTCAGTATTAATCATTGAAGCTGATAACCACGCAAAATCGATGACTCGGCAGAAAAAAAA